TTTCCCTAGCTCCCTTCCAAAAATTGCTGATTTCTTCAGGAGCTGTTCTTCCAAAATCACCACGGGCCCTGAAACCACCTGCTCTTAAAAATGTCTCTGGCGCAACCACTTGGGACTCAGTTAGAAGCTGCTTCCGTGGCTTACCTTGGAGACATACCCATGAAACCTTTCCTGATCTCTCTGGAACAGGGAGATTGCATAACTCTCCAGTGAGGAAGACAGCTTATCAGAGAGCTTACCCTGGCCCTGCAGAGCCCAAGCAGGTACCTAGCAAAAGCTCCTAGCAAGTTCCCTGAGAAGCTGGCCACTGCTGCCTGGTATGGGCTAGTGGGGAACCCAGTTTGGGTCAGTTTGGGAATCCCCATTCCTGGTGTGGGGAGAGATCTGTGATGCCATAAATAAGAGGCTGCAGGAGAGGGAGAGAGGGAGAGAGAAGGAGAAAGAGAGAGGAAGGAAGAGAGCATAAGCATATCTTTAGAATGTCAATTTCCTATTTTTATTCAATTTTATCCTATTTTTATTCCTATTTTTTCTCTCCCTCGTTGCTATGTGAAAAACTTTCACAAATGGGAAATGAGGCAATTGAGTCTACAGAAATACACTCCCCTCTAGCCGTTCCCTTGCAGTGATCTTTCTTAAGAGTTACTTGTAACAATGGTAGAAAAGGATGCCAGGCAGAAGTAGTTGTGTGGCATTTTCAAAAGTCCTGAGTTTAGCAGTGTAAACCATCCTGGTCCTTGTGGTTCTCACTGTAGTTGTGAATGCCCACTCCTCCCCTGACTCTTTATTCTTGTTGAATGCCATTTTCTTGAGGTTTTATTTTTAATAGGAAGTTCAACACGATAAAGGCCTTTGCGGACATTTTGCTACACAAAATGCTGAGTATTATCATGCTTTCTAATGAAATCACATTCTTGGCTACCTTAACCTACTCAGAAGGTTTTCTCTGATGTGAGAAATTTCAGGTGTGTGTTGTTTCGGCACAGAACAGCCATATTTGAGAACGTTTCATGTTAGCCAGAGAAAGCCCATCTCAGACGCAGCCAGGTGATAGAACTGCCTTTTCTCCATTTTTCAGTGCTGGGAGAGACCCTAGTGTACAGGACAGTTTCTGGTAAGGTAGGTTACTTCTGGAGTTGTTCGGCATGGATGTTAAACCTCTGGGGGCTTCCTCAGACCTTGGCACTATGATCCCGGTTTGTAGGTTACAAGTTCCTTGAACATTTGCAATCAGGACTCGTAGACCAATGCGGCTACAACCTGGATACCTTGAACATATGCAGACAGCCAATCTGTGAGACACTGAGTCTTTGATTTTTTTTCCTTCCATGGGAGCTCAGGTGGTTAGTTTCTCCTCTCACACAAGGTGCCTGGTCTCACAGGATCATGCTGTAACTGGTAAAATCTGTTGTTCAGGGAGCTTGCAGGTAACCCCAAGTGGCTCGTTATCTTGCAGGGAGCTTGCAGGTAACCCCAAGCTGCTTCATTTCAAGGTCCTGTATGATGCTCTGTACACAGACCTGCATACATTTAGCTGCAGGGAACTCTGCCAGGTGTGGAAGGATGAGGGCTGGTATTTGAACTTCCAGTTTCTGGAAGATTAGATGAAGTGTTTAGATGCTGGAGCAACAGGGATTCTAGAAATATTAGGTTACAGTAGATGGGGGGGAACAGGCATTTCCCACCTGACACTTAGACAGGTTGGTGCTCTTCTCCCATCCCATCCTCTTCTGTCTGGCTTTGTTTTCCCTGCAGCCTTCAGCACTCCAGAGGTGCATGTGGATTACAACAGCAGTCGGGAGACCCTGCGGTGCGAGGCGCCCCGGTGGTTCCCTCAACCGGTGGTTATGTGGACCTCACCCAATGTCACGGGGAACAACCTCTCTGAGGTCGTCAACACCAGCTTCAAGCTGAACTCAGAGAATGTGACTATGAAGGTGGTGTCCTTTCTGCACAACATCACTGCTAATACCACCTACACCTGTGTAATCAAGAATGACATCGCCAAAGCCATGGGGGACATCCAAGTGACAGGTACATGCCAGCCTGCCTCAGATTGGAGCTTGAGGTTAATGTTACCTGGAAAGTTAACCCTGTCCCTCCTGCTGCAGGGTAGGATGCTGGGGCGGGGGTGGGGGGGTAGAATGGACAAATTATAGCTAAAAACAACCTGTGTCTTTTTTATCCAAAATTTTTAAATTTGACATTTTGAGTAGCTCTACACGAGAACTTCCTTTCACCACCGAACAAGGAGTTGGCTGCCATATTCCATCTGCCCAGCACTAGCCGATCCCTTTGGTTTTGCCATGGTCTGGATCTACAGACCTCAGTGTTGTTATGAAGACCTATAAATGCCAACCTTGGATAAGTGTTCTTGTTGTCCATGCTAAGGGCTGTGAATCTGCCCCAGTGGGATGTTCCCAGCAGCATGTCTCCAGAGTGGGAAGCAGCTCCCACCTTTAATGATGGAAACTGGGAGGGGGAAAAGGAAAACATGGGCATTGGTCTTCCTCTTCCTGGAAGCTGAACTGTGAGCGAGGTGTCCATACCTCTCACGCTAGCAATTTGTCCTTGCTCTTACTTTGCAGTTTCCAATGTCACAAAGAAGATAAAAGTGCAGCTTATAAACCTGAACATGGCATCAGCTTCCTCATCTCCTCCTGCCCTTCATTGGTTGCTTCTTCCCTTCCTGTTCTTGTTATCTTTGTAATACTGACCTGCCAGGAAGAAGTGCACAGAGGAGATACAAGTGGAAGTAAGGACATGAGGAGAGGTGTGGGGGGAGGATGGACAGGATTGTAGAGCTGATGTGCTCCCTTGTTGGGTGGTATAAACTCTACACCAGACACTGTGCCTCCCTGTAACCATTGTCTGGCCAATATCTGTGGTGACAGTGGTGGCAGACATTGCACTAGTAGCAGGCAGATGCTTGGAGGGGATACATGCAGGAGGGGTCTTAAATGCTCAGCGCTAGCCTGAGCTGTCCAGGTGGCAGCCTATGGAGAAGAATGATGTGGACAGTCCCTGAAAGCAGATGCCACTGCCCGACTGCCTAGCCCCACAGACACATCTGTATCATTCCCCGCACCTACAAGGATCATAGTCGGCATAGCAGGGGACAGCACACATAAGCAACTAAACCAGAGCCTTTTCCTGTCTCCCCACAGGACAGACACCACATCTGTGCTGACTATGGAACAGACATTGCACCTGCCTTCTCTCTTGGACTGGAGACCTGCTACAGCTACCTGCAGCCTTTGGGGCCAGGTGGCAGTCCTGATTTGAAGTTCCTCCTCCTGCTGCTCAGTTTGCTTTGCTGCTGCCGCCGGTTCTGTTTGCCCATGGCCGTGGGGGAGCTACTGCCTTCTGTGCATCTCTGGCCTGTTTTTTACATACTTGCTCTCTGGCATCTGAAAGGTGAGGAATTCCACCAAGACAAGTTAGTGGACGGAGTTGTGACCAGGGGCACTGGATGCATTTCCTTGCTTAGAATAACTCCATGCTCCAAACTGGTAGGGAATGTTCTCTTCATGGTCCCACCTGGAGAAAAGGTTTTCCACGTTGGATCCGATCATCAGTCCCTCAAATTCAGGACTCTAGCAGAGTAAGCAAATTTTATATTCTTTTCTCTTAAAATGGCCAATTTTATTTGCTTGCCCATTCTTCCCTGATCTCTTGTAATTCTGTGGATGTGCCAATAAAAGAGATAAAGAAAACTGGTTGGCAATTTACTTGGACCTTTAAAAGGCTTCTACGCCTTTTAGGCACTCTATCATTGTGATATGAGAGGCAAAATTGTTAGGAAGCTGGCTAAGACATGGACAACAGACTGAGAATTAATAAGGGATTTTCTTCACAGCAAAGGGGTACTGAAAGGATGTCATAAGCCTTCATACTAGGAATAGCAATGTTTTTATATATTGTTTTAATACATGAACATGTAATTTATCTCCTCTTGCCCTTCACTGGATGCTTCTATCCTTTATGAACACACATACATATAATGTAATGTAATGTATCAGCTGTTATTTCTCTCTCTATGTATGTACACCTATGAAATACACACAGTTTTAAGGAAAAGACCTGGAAAAAGGAAGCAAGTAAAATCTTCACAAGACATGAAAAGTGAGCATAGAAAGAGAAGGAGAATAGTATTAACACCCTTGTAAAAAGAGAGAAGGTGGGCAAGTTCTCAGGTTCATAGTGGGATTCTTACTCAAAGCAGGTGAGAGAGAGAAGTCCGTCTGAGAGTAGCCCAGGGATCAGGCCACTTGCTCAACTGGGATGTGAGAGACCTTTCTTCAAGTCTCTGCTCTGCCTGATTAAGAACACGAGGTTGAACCCAAGGTGTCTCCCACATGCCTAGTGAAATCCCTAACAATTAGGCAATTCTGAGCTGGATCCGTCTGTCTTGCTTTTATTTTGTCTCAAAAAAATTCCAAAAGACTTTGACTCATTCTTCACTGAAATAAAAACAGAGGTTGAAATCCTGAAATGCTTTGTGAAGTGGGAGCCTGGTTTCCACCCAGTGCAAGGCACAGATAGATGACAAGTGTGATTAGCACCCTGGAAAAGCTCTCAGATGGATGGAGCCCACAAGCACTCAGATTGTTTAACCTGACAAGACCAAAGTGTATTACATGAGATGGTACAGACACAGTAGACTGGGAAACTTCTACTCACCCTGTCTCATAATGCAAGAATCAAGGAACGTCCATGGTGAAAGGTGGCAAATGTAATACTGAGAAAGGAGTTGCACTGTGGAATTCCTCTAGAAAAAAATATCAAGGGCAGAATTTGCAGGAGTAAAAAAGTTAAGACAGTTATATAGAAAACAAGAATATTACGTAATTCCTAATAAGGCACTGAACTAGCTACAAATATTGACCAAACTATTCTTCAGCTAATTTACTCATTCAGTAATGGTATTAACACTTGGCAAATTGGTCTACCAGTAACACGCATGCCCACAAACTCTTTTCTTGGTCATGCGATTATCCAGGCCGCTGAAGAACCTGCTTTATTAGGTGTTCAGAAATCTTTGAGAGTAAATCGTGGGTATGGACTGTATGCTGAACCAAAGTGCATTTCCTTTCTCCTTCCTGACCTACAAGGCATCAATGGGTTCTTAATCAGGTGGTCCTTAAAAAATGGAGATCCGTCTCCATGTAACTCTTCTCAAGCTGCATTCTCTCCAGAGGATCCCTCAGTGGGGTCTCCTGCCCAACCCGTCTGGCATTTGACTCAAAGGAGCCAGTGGGAGGCTGAAGGCTGTGTGTCTGAGGGGGCAGTGGTCTTTACATTGAATTGAACTTGCATGGCTGCTTCTGTCTCTTGCAAATGTTAATTGAGAAATATTATCAGTCTGGCCAACGAATAGCATCTCACCTTGTTTATCGATATAAATATGCTTGTTGCTGAGAGAGTCTGGGGCAATCAGTATCTTCTCTAACCCTGGACTGAAGATTGCAGGGGAAAACACGAGACCCTGGTGCTCAGTGACAGCTCTTCCTGAGAGTCAATAAAAAGGGACTCTAAAGCATTCCCTGAGTCCCTTTGACAGTATCAAGCCTTTGGGGGGAAAAAAAGTGTCCTGGAAGCACACATGGGGCAGTGGAACCTGATTTTGGGCTGTCTGTTGAAGGTGGAAGAACTATTTGCAACGTTCCCTAGAAGCCATCCCCATGCCTAGGGAGACTGGGTTTTACTGACTCTTTGTAAGGGCCAGCTTTACTAGTTCAGAAGCTGGGGGCGGAAAAAGGAGTTGAAAACAATTCTGCAGGTTTCATTGGGAATCAAACTCTGGCTTACCCTCCAGTCCCACTCTAAAGGCATGAAAGCCTAACCAACCACCACTCCTCAAGGAGGAAGTGTTATTCATGATGAAGGATAAACACATGATAGCTAAGTGCTTCAAAGACTGTCTCCTGTGCAAGCACAAATGTAGATGTCTTCATCCTGTAGGAAGTGGCCTGGATATCCCAGTCTCAGTGCAACAAGAAATCATTGACAAGAGAAAGAAATGGCTGAACTGCAAGACAACTGGCTTCTTTTCTGAGAAGCCCCTATGCTGTCCACCTGCACTTCTGGCTTTAATACAGTAGGAAGGGACAGGCAGTACTTCCTATTATTGCACTTCCTATTAGAAGGCCATCTTCAGTTGCTTAAAACTTTGCTAAACATTAACAGTATGGGTTGAAAAGTTCCCTGGCAGGTGCCTGCCTCAGACCCAGCGTGGCTTGCTTTTTAACCGTTCAGCAAAAGTGGTTGGAGAAAATAAATATTGTGTGCATCTTTCTGAGTAAGGATAGTTCAGCACCAGAACAGATGATCAGGAGAGATTGTGGACTGTCCTTCCTGGGTGGTTTTTAAGAACAGGTTAGACAAACCTGTGTCAGGAATGATTTAGGTATAGTTGATCTTGCCTGGGGGGAGGGGGGAAGGAGGAAAGAGAGGGAGGCGGGGTGGGCTGGACTAGATGACCTCTGGAGGACTCTTCCAAGCCTATTTTCTGATTTTTTTTTATCATATTCAAATTTTGACCCTCAGAAAGACTCTGGCATCTGCCACTTCGGAGCAGATGTATCAGGACTGTGCCCTGCACTGTCCCTATGAAAATCCTCCCACATCTGACAAAGTTGTAGATCCTTAAAAAAAAATCCCAATTTGTTCATGCTTGAAAGAAAACTTAATATTTTTGATGAGTCCAGCACAATCACGATAAGGGTTATAACCAACACCCCCCTCCCCCCCGCTCCCAAAGAAACCAACCAGTGCATCTTCAGAGCAGGGTTTGAAAAGCATGCAATAAATAAGGCCTGGAGCCACCCATGCTAAACAACCATAAGCTAAGCACTGAACAGTTGCTTATTATGTGAACAGGGTTCACTCTGGGTACCATGTAAGGTAGGGCAACCAATAGAAAACATAGCTTATTATCATGTAACTAAAGATTGTTTTAATGAATGCACAAGGGAGCTAAAAGGTCCTATGCAGTCTTAATTCTGGCTGTGTTAATTCGTGATTACATGGATTTTGCAACTTTAATCACATTATTTTCAGTTAGGGAGACATTTTTGCAATCTTATTTATTAAATGGTCCGGGCCAGAAGGGAGTGGCAAGTAAATTTGGGGTAGAAGGTCTATGAAATAGTGTCCTATTCAGGTCCAGTTGTGCAGAATGGATTGGTATGGTATACCTCTATGAACAGTGCAGTGATGCGTCCACATCCAGCACATGGGACCAAGCCACTTGGCCTAAAAACCAGAACCTCAGGACATAGGATGCAAACCCAAATGAGCAGCTGGTGAGCTTGCTAGTGCCAGCAAGTGTGCTAGGACTTGACAGTTTAATATCCTTCTTTTCATTGCACACAGACCAGGCGCTCTTCACCTATGTAGAAGGGGGTCAAACAGCAGTTTGTTGGGTTTTTTATTAAGCTAATTTGTAATACATGGATAAAAGGAACTGGGTGCTCAGGGCTTGTGTGCTCTAGATGGAGTTCTCAGCATGGTCCAGTCCAGTGATGACCAACCTTTTTGGCAGATGTGCCACAAATTAGCCCCATACCCTCCCCAAGTGCCCCTTCACTCGTCTTCCTCTGCTGCTCTGCCTTCTGCTCCCAGTCCTGTGCCCCCTGCCTTGTCTGCTGCTCTGCTTTCTGTTTCCTTCCCTATGCTCCCTCCTTGATTTGCTGCTTTGCTTTCTGCTCCCAGCCCTATCTGCTGCTGCATCCAATCTGCCTCATGCCACACACAGAGGCTGCCCGTGCCACTTCTGACACCTGTGCTGCAGGTTGACCACCCTGGGGCCAGTCCACTCAGCTCTTCTGAAACTTGTAAGCACATCCATCAAGAAATATCGGGGAGCTGTTGCCACTGCTATCAGACTGAGGTAAACGAGATACATTTTTGGAAGCTTATTAGGATGCTGCAAAATGTTACCGTGTACCTGATATAGTCCAGAACTATCAGAGAAAAGCCTTTAAGTGAAATGCCTTTGTTCATAGGCGTTTGAACTGGGTATTCTAAGCTCTTAGAAGAACACTGAAAATTGTCTAGTGAAGTTCTTAAAACAACCCATCTTGAAATGGTCTTCTGAGAGGTGCTGCTGCTTCATGGCTTGCATACGATACTAGAGAACTGCTAAGTACAGACAGGATTCTTCAACAAGTTGTGCCCTGAAAGAACGGGCAGCTCCTCAACATGTGTAAGCCTGTAAACATTTCTGAGACCACCTCTGCTGCTACATTGAGGGTTATTCAAAACCAGATGGTTAAAGCAACTGACAGAGGATTACCTTCCCCACATGCACACAAGTGGGGAAGCAGGATCTATAGAAGCCAAAGAATAACACATTCAAGTGACTAAACAGTTTTTTGCTCAAGACTGTATTCTTTTGGTACAAGTAACAAGCTTGCCAGGTTATGATGGCTTGCACCTAGTTTTTTTAGTTCTATGATCAAGTCACTTTCATTCATGCTGACAAAGAATAAAATTTTCCCCTTGTTTTTGGTGCTCTACCTTTTGAATCTAAAATCTGTCAAACCCCAAGGTAGTATCCTGTTGGCTGCCTCAGTCTTGCCTGGACAAAAAATGAGAGCAGAATTTCCTTGGGGCCTCAAGCTTTTCTTTCCTCCATAGCAAGTGAAATTTAAGCTACTGCTTGTACAGTTCTCTACCATGATTTGATGGCCTACAAAGGACCCCTCCATCAGTATCCCATTTTGTGCTTTATCATACAGAACATTATTCATAAGCTTCATAAATCTTTCACATTATTATATAAAATCACTGCAAAACGTATTCCTTTTATATTTCTTGACACCCTGCATCTGTTGTATGGTTAAGTGCTCTTAGTATGTTAAAGGATAAATCTTGGCAGAGAGTGTAAAGCTTTGCCTACAGAGAAAAGTTACCATGAAGTGAGTGATGTACAAATTCACTTTGCTGTAAAGCACAAGGTAATTAAATTAACTCCACTTGTTGTATGCGAAGAGCATGCACACACAGTCAGTGCGGAGTAGATAGCGCAGTGGTTCTTGTCCTTTCCAGCCTCAAGGCCCCCTTCGTAACTTGTCTGAATTTTGCAGAAACCCAATGAAAAACACTGAGTTAAGATCTAAATTCAGAAAAGATGTGGAGCTGGAGAGGGGCCTTGAGGCTAAAAGCTGAAAATCAAGTGATCTGACTGGTGCTGCTTATGGGCAGTGGGGGAAGGACCTCACCCTGCTGTGGCCTGATCTTTCCATTGTCTCCCCCCTGCCAACCCCTGGTCTGTACCTTGGGGCAAGAGCAGTCCCCGCTGCTGAGGCTGTTCCTGCAGGGTCTCACATGACAGTGACCACCCCACAGGCCCTCCAGCTAGCCCCGGAACTGTAGGAGTGGAGGGGATGAGCGGGACCACAAAGCAGGGTTCTGTGTCCGCTCATCCTCTCGCAGCAGAGGGCACTGTTGGGAACATAGCAGGGTGCTGGCACATGGGCTGGCTAGGGGCAGGAAAAGCAGCAGCAGTAGTAGTGGTAGTCCTAGAGCAGAGGTGGGCAAAATGCGGCCTGCGGGCCAGATGCGGCCCGCCAGGCCCTTCTATCCGGCCCGTGGGGCCCCTAAAAAAAATTAGAAAATTAGTATTTATCTGCCCTTGGCTGTCTGTCATGCGGCCCTTGATGGCTTGTCAACACTCAGTAAGTGGCCCTCTGCCCAAAATAATTGCCCGCCCCTGCCTTAGAGGAACAGCTGCAGGGGAGCACCTGCAGGGTGTTGGACAGGAGAGGAGAGCACTGAGAGGGGGAATCTCAATGTGCTTCTGTACTTTGGCACCCCTTTGGGCATCACTGAGCTAATGCCTGAAAGTTCACGCCAAAACTTAATTTGCAGCAGCTTCCCCACATAGACAAACCCATACTGACTTAGGTTTCACCAGGTATTTAGACCACAAGTGCCATCATGTGGCCATTTTACAAATCATACCTGGCTGACATTTTTACCTTCCATTACCACTCATTAAATAACTTCTGGGCACTTGTAGCAGGTCTGGCACCAGGGTAACAAAATCAGCCCCTGGCAGCCACCTGACCCCCACCTTGCTTGCCCCCTTTGGCCTTAGCAGAGTCCCACCCTGTCGTCTCACCTGCCATGCCTTGATGTTATGAGTGGACAGGGAGGCTGCCCCTAGAGGGCATGGGGCTTGGGGTCTTAGGCCCTTGTCTGAGCTGAGGGCTTCTGGCCTTGACACACTTTTCTCTAGCTGTTTCTCCACCTGAGGTCCACCATATCAGGACCCTGGGCTGCCAGTTCCCAGCTCGTCTTGCCCTTTGTGGGCTCTGTGTCCCTCAGCCCCCTTGGTCTCGCCCCTCATGGGCTCTGGGCCCCTTGCAGCCTGCAGGGCCAGACTGCCTCCTTGCCTCAGGTCCTTGGTGTATATGCCCCTCTCTGGGTCATCTGATCCACCACTTCCACCCCAAGCCTGTCAATCACAGGCTACACTGTGCTTGTGGTATCTGGGGTAGGTGGCTATTGGATTAAAAAGCCCTCTGCCTTCATCAGTTCCTCCAGGTGTTGGAGCCAGCCAGCTGGGCTCTGACTCCCTCTTGCCTCCAGTAATGGGGTAGGGGCCCCAATTACAGCGCTCAAGGCCTCATCTTTTTGCCAGATACAGGAGCAAAAAGCTAAGGCAGGCTTCACAGAATGTGCCAGCAATCTCACAGCAACTCTCTGCACCTAGACAGAAGTCAGCTCTACACAGGATTCCCAGTTTTGCTGTCTAGTCTCCGTGCAGCTTCTCCTGGACCTCTCCTTTGTAGGAGAGGAACATTTGTGGGAACACAAAGGGACTGTAGCCTCTGTTCCTTGTGCTTCCCTCCCCCTCCATCAAACCTCTTCCTCCTGCTGCTAGACTTGGACCTCAAGACCGGGAGCAACAATCCTCACCTCTGCCAGTAGCATGATTAAAAAGAGCACAGAGGACAAGACACAGGAAGAACATAAACAGAGTAAATGCGACTCAGTGAGATGCTGGCTGAAGCTGCTGGGTAGTTTCCCTCCTATTCATTTGGGTGCTTTGTCACTGTTATACCTCCCGTTCCCACGAATGGAGTTACACAGCCAAAGCCCCAGTGCAGCAGTAGCACATTAAGAAATCCTTTAGGACCTGACATTTTTTCTGAGGCCAGATGCTTTTCAAACCACCTCTGTTCCTAGCTACTAATTTCAGCCTCAATGGCTAGGAACCATCTCACTGTGCTGCTTGATTTCTCAGGCAGGTAGACAGTGCCTTTCTCTGGCTCTTAGACACTGGGACACATGCTCTTTTGCCCAAGTTCCTTATACTGGAAAGAAAGGTTTAAATATTAAAACAGACTGCCACTGCAGCACTTAGGTGTTATTAAACAGTTTTATTTACATCATGCTCCTCTGAAACATGTACAGCCTGCACTCTGGGTCCAAGCTAGTAGCTGACTTCATGGAAGAGCTAAGCACCTGCCCTTCTCAGAAGCTGGACTTTGGTTAGCTGCCCAAGACCCAGAAAGACAGCATTCAGGAAAAATGCAACCCATGGACACTTTGCAATCCCACACGTTTTAAACACTGATCCCAGGTCCTACTGACACTCACAACCCCAACTGCAGGGCCAGTGCTCTTGCTGAGATTCCAAGTGCTGCCAGCCTATACTGGAGTCCTCCTTATATGTCCTCTGTGGATATAGGCAAGGGGCCATGTCTCAGGCCGAGTGTCCTCTTGCTGTTCAGATAGGATAAGACTTTATGTTCTGCCTCCTGGATATTGAGACTTGTTAGAATTGGGCGAGGTCCCACCTGGGACATAAATTCCACCTCCGTGCCCAGGAATCTTCTCAGCTGCAGTGTAACTGGGTGGAGAGAGAATACAATCAGTAGTTACGCAAAGAAGAACTCACATCCCACCCCTGCACTCAGCATTAGATTGGGGTAGTGGTGTGGTGCCCATCAGCCATGAAGGACAGGAATGGCAGGAAGATGGCAGAATAAGGAGAGCACGTATGCCAGGACACGGATACCAATCCTCGATCTGTGGAGAAGTGCTTTCTTATGGTGTCCACAGCAAGCACATGGACATTACTCATTCAGCTGGCAGACTGGAATACACAGCTACTCCCACAGACCTGACATAGACCAGGGAAGACATCCCTGAAAGATGTCATCTGCAACAGCACAGTACCCCTCGCTGAATCACTCATGCCCCTCACTGCAGTACAGCACAGCACCATGTGGCATCATGCCAAAGCACTGGAGTAGGCACCAATGGGTAGGAGAGAGCACCCCTGCAGTCTGGCATCCCTTTCCACAAAGCAGCATTGGAGACCAGACTGATTGTTTGCAGATCATGACAGGCCAAGTTGGTAGCACTCTCAATAGCACCCCCCTCATCATTACGCATGCTACAATCCTGCTGGGGGACTGCAACCCAGGCTTGCTGGTTGGAGACTGCTGGTCTGTATGCTCCCTTTTCCCCAAGCAGTGAAGCTGCTCCTTCGTTCCTCAGCCACACATCATTGGTCTGAGGGCACTCACCAGGCTGAGGAATCTTTGAGGGCTTCCTGTCGAGGCTGAAAGTTAGCAGAATGGGCCGGCAAGCAACAGGGCTCCTACACAAGCTCCTCAGGTACCAGACAAGAAGATCATCAGGCTCCTCCACACACTGAGGAAGCAATCAACCCCATCAGAGCTCAAGGGAAGCAAAGCAGAGAGGTACCTGGGAGCCAGGGACTCTCCTTGGGCCCCATGGAGGCTCAGACCCAGGACTGGGGCCATTGCCAGGACAAACCACTCACTGCAGTCCCAGCACTAGTTCCCCCAAGCTGGACAGAAATGCTGCCCCGGCTTTGCACGCAGCTCTGGACAGCTTCCCACTCTGCAGAATTTAGGCCTAAGGCTGCAGCCACCTGCTGGTTCCTGCACTGCACCAGGGCCTCGCCGGTTCCATCTTCCACCAGAATCCTGCAGGCCAGAAGAGATGGACAAAGAAGGTAACTGCACATGGACAGCCCCTGCTGCTGCACTAGGGAACTGCGCTGGAGGGGTGGGGGGGCAGGGCAGGGAAGGAGGACAATTTATGCCTGAAAGAATGGGGGACAGACTGAACTCTCCCCTGCTGTTCTGCCTTACATCCCCTGTTCCCAACCAACCTTTGCTGGGTCAGTCCCTGCTCCTGTAGCATGGCTACCTCTGCCCTTTCCCCACCTCTCCCTACTCTTCTGTCCCTTTCTCTCCCCCAGCACTTACCGAGCACTGGCTTGACTCACTCCTGTGTATGATGGACAGGGTGGGCTCTGTCGGGTGCATCTCCCCTAAGGAGGAGCAGCAGTTAAGAGTTGGGGAGGGGCAGGCGGGTGAGGGATGAGGATGAACCTGTGCCCCTGCATGCAAAGGCTGAAAAGGGTTCACTGCAGTCCCAAGGACTGTCTCAAGGACAGCTCAGCTGGGACTCAGCATCTGAGAGGAAAGAAACTGCCCCTGAAATCCAGCCTCTCCCCTGAGGTTCCCTCTGGGTCAGATTTAGGAGCAGGGTCCATGCAGGGAAGGCCATGTGCTGGGAAGCTGCAGGTCCTCTCCTGCCTAGCCCACCTAGGTCACCCAACACCCCTGCCAGGCATGGAGGGCAGGCCAGTAGCAGAGCCACAAATATCTCTCTGTGGGCCATTCTCTGCTGCAGCACCGAAGGCTGGGAGCTGTTTGTGCTACAGCCGCTGATAAGGCAGCTCTAAAATTGGGAAAAATCAGAACAGGTCGGTTTCTGCCACGTGCTGTTACTGCCATTGTCAAACGCTAATGAGCAGAGGGGAAATGCCGTGAGCCAGCCACAATGGAATCCTTAAGCCCCCTCCCACCCCCGCCCCCATGGGCTTCTCCCCCATTGTCCCTTGGGTACCTCTCTAAAGATGCTGTTGCAGAGGGAGCAGATCCAGTGCAGGGACAGTGCCAGGACATGGGAGAGATGGCAAAAAGCCTGGGCGTGGGACAGGCTGCAGGGCTGAAGTAGCAGGCTAGACAAGAGCACCAGCGGGGGGGATGAGGCTGCACCCTTGGGGCTAGACAGAAGAAAGCAAATGACTCATGGTTAAGAGGAGCTGACATGGGGAAGGGAGGAAAGGTCACAGAGCCCAAACTCACCTGGGAGCAAGGAGCACATCAGGGGCTGGCAGAGCTACGATGCGGATGCAGCTGGAGGCAATGTAGGTGCAATACACATTGTGGAATCTACAGGGTAAGGAAGGAAATGTCAGGAGCAGCCTAGGAGGGCACTGCTTGAGCTTCCTGCGGTGGCTGGATGGGCGTGGTTTACGGGCATGGGCCTGGCAGCTGACCAGGAGGTGAGGAAGAAAGAAGTGCTTTAGTTTCTGCATCAGGGAGACACGATGGCAGGTCAAGAGGACAGGGACAAAGATCCAGGGCCTAGCTACTGGGATCAAGACTGAGATGACAGATCAAGAGAGACCGTTGAGGAGGAAAGCAGTAGGAAAGGTGAGAGGATTCAGGGTCTGGGTTCAGCTCAAGAGCTAGACGTACCTGGAGATTTTGCGCTCCAGGTTCTGGAAGAGGATCTTGGCCCCAGGCAGCAAGCCCCGCAGATGTTTCAGAAAGGTGGTGGTAATGTAAACATTGAGCACGAAGGAGGAGCTGGGAGCAGCGATGACGCTCAGCTTTACATTGTGGTCTGAGGGCAGGAGGCTTTCTGAGTAGGAAGATGGTTGAAGACAAATTGCTTGCTGGCTGCCCCAGCCCACCACCCAACTTGCCGGTTGGAGACAGTGTGCCCCAGCCCCACGCATGCAGAAAGCCTTCTCTGAGACATGCCCTGGCTTCCCAACTCATCTCTGGGGGGCAGTCACACCCTCACCTTTGTGGCCTCGGGTGTTGGAAGATGCAGACTGTCTCTTGTACTCGACAGGTATACATGAGGCCCTTTCTACTATCTCACCACAGAAAGAGACAAGGGAACCTGTAAACCTGGGAGCAGAGGAAAGCAAGATTTTGTCTTACTGTGCAGAGCAGAGAAAGGGGCTCATTTGGAGGCACCAGTTGCTGGAAGTAAAGTACGGTGCCACAACTTTCACCCAGGCTTAGTCATTCCAGGGCTCCCTGCACTATCAAGGTCTTGGTCACAGCTATAACCAAGACATTAAGTATGCAGCATGCACTTTGCCCCATGTTTGCATTTGTTGTGCTTGCATATGCTTGCCCATGTTGCCTGTGACATCATCTAGCCTACGAAGTGGTCAGGATGTGACAGCAGAGGAAGAGAAAAGAAGGGTTTGGCTGAACACGAGATGGGAGAGGCAGGTGCTTTGTGCAGGGAGTCTTGTGCTGGGGAGGGGTCACTGTGTTCAGCAATTGCGCTCTCTTCCTTTCACCAAGGGCCTGTCCAACCTGGACATACATTACCCCTGCACCCACCTAGGTTTTCAGTATGTGGGAAGCCTAAAGGATCCATCTCTCACCCAGAGCTTTCCTGGACACAGGGACGTCCTGAAATCATTGCTGGCAAAAGCAGCACATCTGAAGGTCAAGACAGGGTGGGAAGGATGTCCCAGAGCCCAACCCCATGCGAACCATATCCCAGCCCCTTCCCATTAAACTCTAGGGGACAGCTGCTAGCTCCAGGCATCACAAGATAGCAGCTGTCACAGCTGGGTGGAAGCTCTGAGGGGGGCTTAGTTCCACACAGCTGTCAACCACATCACAGACACTGGGTAGCCAAGCTGGTATTCTGCAGGTTGCAGCACACTACCACTGGGGACTCATGGCAATGTGGTACAAGGCAGACAACATGGGATACAGGCACTCTGATCTCTCCTATGTCCCAGAGTAGAGTTTCCTACATGTGCTTCCAGCTGCTTCTGTTCTGCCTTCTCTAGTTCCAACAGAGGGGAGTGGTTTCTGGGCTGGAGAGGGGGAAGTGGAGGGGTAGGTCAGATGGGTGGAAAGGAAACCTTAAAAAATGTGTACTTCAGTACAGATACAAGTATACGAGTACAAGAAAAAGAAATACTCTTCCAGCACAACTGCATCACATCTGAGCAGACTGCACTCAGCTGTTCTGTCCCTTTTCCCTATCCCTACCACAAGAGGTATTAGGCAGAGATCTTAGGCACCGATTACATGCCCATGGGACTGGCGGATTTCTGGATTCTGTTTTACAGTTATGTCCCCCATGATCCTGTTACACTTAATATATTAGACAAGATCACAGCCCTGGATGGTACTTTCATGTAAAGGAAAATTCCTAAGATAACCCACTGGCTGAGCACAGCTGGAACTCATGCTGATGCTTTTCCTCATCTCTCAGCAGAAGGGAACCTAATACAGCAGAGTAAAGGCCAACATACCTGGGGTTGAGTAGATCTGGGATGGAGGAGACTCTCTGCCCCATGCTTAGTAGCACTGACTCTGGCACCAGCTAGAAACGGAAGCAAGACGGACTCAATGGGATTATTTGCAGCCACTGCTGGCCAGAGCAACCTGAACCAGATCTGCCCAAAGCCTTGCAACTGTATACCTCTTCAAGCTCAAACAGCACAGTGCTGTGGCAGGCTGAGAGGCTACCACTGCCCCCTGCATCAGACTTGGGCTTGGGGGTTGCATCCTTCTTACTTCTGTGTGAAGTGCAAGCCCCGCACTGCCCTGGTGCAGCCCACAAGGGCGGCTGAACAGCCAAGGAAAAGTCTTGTATAATCTCTTGCCAGATCTCCAGGGAAGGTCTCTATCATAGAAACCCTAAGGTAATGTGGTGCTGCATACCTGGGGGTGAGCCAGACAGGAGATCCAGGTTTCATGCTGTAGGTGCCAGGTATCTGGGACAGGCAGACAGGAGGGGCAGCATGACTGGTCCAGGACCCTCTTTGGCACTGGTGGGAGACAGAGCTGTTTGAACACGCCCAAGTCCTGCAAGGAGAGCAGCACAGCAGACAAGTCAGGGGGGACCTAGGTAGGAAAGAGTCAGCGGGGCATTGACAGACTCCTTGCACACAGGCTTCTAGTCAATATAGAGCTGGACCAGAACAATTGAGAGGCTGAGAAGAGGTAACTGTGAGAGACTGAAACCAAGACTATGCTTAGTCAAGGCTGCAAGCCCTTGCCAGTCAGGATCAGGGCTGGAGTATGACAAGGGACAGCACCATTCCAGCCCTTTCCTCTGTCACCCAAAAAAACAGACGTGTTACTCATTACTAGCATAACAGCGAGTCTAGCAGGGTCTCTACTTCCCTCACCCGTGGCAGAGAAGACATTAATGCATTTCTCATAAGCCTCTCATGGCTGTGAGTAAAGACTTTCAACTGCAGGGAGAGTCCCTAGAGAGTCAGAGTGGTGGGCAGTTCAGCTAGTGATAGAAAGATTGGATAGGGTGAAGAACAAGCTCTAGACAGGCAGTGCTACACTGTGGCTGGGGGCTCTGGAAGGTCAGCACTGCCACCCCTTACCGTGCAGTGGGGCACAACAATCTGGTACAGCCCATCCGGGTGCAGGACTGGAAACCATCGGCTTGATTTCCCCATGAAGAGCAGCAGCACCTGGCATGGGATGAGGGGACAAGTTGGTGAGGGAGGGTGGTTGGAAAGGCAAAGTCCACTATGGTGAGAGTGGACAGGAGCACAGAAAAGCACCAGCCCATCAAGGTGGGGTGGGGGTTGGAAGAGAGAAGGCAGAGTGCCCTGCAGACAAAGTGCTGGGCTAGGAAGGGCCTTTAGGGAGTATGATCTGGGGAAAGGCAGGTGGAGAAGGAAGGCAACATGGAGCTCCCCCAGCAGGTTGCAGGGAGTCAAAAACACTTGTGAACTTCATGGTCAAGCCAGCCCTGCTCCCTCCACTTGGGGACTGAGCTCCCCACAGCCCTCTCATGCAGGACTAGGGTCACACCTTGTTAGGAGGGCCGCCCCCAAGCCTCCCCTTCCCCCCTGCTCCCTGCCTTACTCTCTGCTGTGTCTCACTGCCCTCCATGTGGTCAGTGGTCTGCTCCAACTCTGGCAAGCTCCTGATTTCTCCGGGATTTGCCCACAGCCGAGGTTTGCCCATCCACAGCACAGTGGCCTGGAAGCTAGGCTGCAGCTCCTGTTTGTCTTCATGTCCTTCCCCTGACAGCATGTAGTTGCGGGGCATGAGCCCCTCTTTCTGGGTGACCAGGAAAAGACAAGACACGCAGCTGGCTCCGCTAGTGCTGCCTGGGTCTCTTGCACAATATTCTTTGCTGCTGGCTCCTGCCTCGGTCCCCTCCAATTTTGGCACTTTTGCATCTGGCGAGTCTAGCTCAACTTTTGGGTTACCATCATCCTTCTTCCCCAGACAGGGACTGCCCCTGCTTGCAGGTCGCTCCCCAATTAGTGGTTTTGGATGGCTGAGAACCTGCACATCTTCAAAGTAGAACTGCACATACAGACTGAAACAAGGGGGGGGGAAAATCAGCTCTTGATACCTGGAGTGATGGTAATCCAAACAGGGCAGCCTGCTGGGATGGGGACTTTTAGCTGGAGGCCCAGACAAGCAACAGATGCTAAGGAAGGTAGCAGGAGGGTATGAGTACAGACAGCTGGAACTTGCTGGCTGTGGCAAACTCCACAGAGTGAAGATGGTGGGTTTGTCTCCAATACAGAGGAATCCTTACCCACCCCACCAGCAGCACAAGAGAGCTGCCCAGTCACAAGTTTAGCAGCTTTGTAAAAATTAGATAGCTGTAGCCCTGCAGAGGGATTCACAACCCAAG